CCCCCCCCCTTTTTTTTTGAGATGGAGTCTCTTTCTGTTGCACAGGCTGGAGTGCAGTAGGATGATCTTGGCTCACTGCAACCTCTGCATCCCAGGTTCAAGCGATTCTCCTGCCCCAGCCTCTGAGTAGCTGGGAATACAGATTCCCGCCACCACACCTGGGTACTTTTTGTATTCTTTGTAGAGATGGGGTTTTACCGTATTGGCCAAGCTGGTCTTGAACTTCCAACCTCAAGTGATCTGCCACTTCAGCCTCCCAAAGTGCTGTGATTACAGGTGTGAGCCACTGTACCCAGCCTGTTTAGGACCCTTTTATTGGGACTATGTGCATTCCAAGTAATGATAGAATATTATATTGTTCTATCATATGATATTACTATGTGATAGAATAGCATATATCTAGAACTAGGCATCTAGTTTTTTCAGGGAGTCACAGCCAAATGATGAGGACACTTGGGAGCACAGAAGCATCTGGGATCACCTTCTTCTTAAGAGCCACTGACATATCTGCCCTTTGATGTCTTCCATAAAGGGGTCCAGTTCTCAGGTCCTTGGTTCCAGGCATTTTCCGGGAGTCTGCAGTGGAGGCCTGTGCTAGGTCTTACTGTCTCTACCAAGAAAAGGCGAGGCTGCCTGCATGAGCCAGGGTGAGAGAGGGGAGCACCTTTCCTGGGGCAGGGGCAGGGTGGGCATCTGAGGAGGGAGGTTCCACTCCATCCTCGTGGCCTGAGCCTAGTTTCTCAGAGCAGCTGAGTCAGCCCAGCATCTAGAAGTTGAAGGGAGACTGTAGCAGAGCATGGTGGCCTCAGAGGCTGGGGCAGTGTGAGGGTAGTGAGGGCCAGTCCAGGGCTCCCTGGACACTAAGAGCCCCTAACTAGACATGATGAGGCTTTGGGGTCAGTCAGCCCTGGATTCAAATCCTGTCCCTGCCCCTTCCTAAGGTGTCATAAAAGCCTATAAACACAACTCTGTCCAATCCCACCACCAGTTCCTCAGAGTCCCCCTTCCTAACATGCCCACTCTGGGGCATCCATGTCTGGACATGGGTCTGTCTTCTGCCTGGGCTGCCTGGGAGCCCAGCTGTGTGAAGTAGGACCAGGATGTCCCAGTAGAAGCCTGTCCTCAAGTGTCTGGAGAAGATCCCAGGTGTCTGGACAGTAAATATAAACCCTGACCTCAAATGACCATCACCATAATTCTCTCACCCCACTTCCTGCATCCAAGCAAGACAGACCGAGGTCCTCCTGCTGGTCCGTGACACAGGCTGAGCCAGAACCCAGGTCTCCAGAACTCCCACCCAAGGGCTGCCAAACTCCCCAGGCCTGGCCCCTCTCGGAAGGGCAGGAAGGCTCTGTTCACAGATGCTCCTGGAGGACACCCAGGTCTGGTATTTACAGGGCTCCTGGGCAGGGCTGGCAGGTCTTGGCTCCTGGAATGTGAAACCCTGGAGGACGCTGGCATTTCCTGCTGTCAGCAACTTCCCTACTGCTTGCCCTTTTACTCCAGGTAAAAATAGAAGGAACTTCCCTCCTGGCAGCTTTGGGGTGGTCTTTCCATCTGCCCCCAGGGAAGCCCTGCTAGGAAACAGGCAGGAATGAGGTGGAATTTTTGGTGTGCAGGTATGTCAGGTATGTAGAAGGAAGTCCAGGGTTTCCCCAGGCCAGAGGCCCCTCCTCTGCTGGCTGACAAGGATGAATCTGTGAGAGTCATTTTCTCCAAACATAATGTCAGGATTTCAGAAGCTCCCTGCAAAGCAGCTTCTGTTGACCAAAACCTGATCCCTGCTCTGGCAGGATCCTCCGCATGATACAGTCCAGTGAATTGAGAGCCTCCATGTCATAGGAGAATCTGGAAGAGAGGCCCCAGGATTTGCCACCAGGAATGAAGCTAGACCAGTCTACCGAGCTGAGACTCAAGATCCGGATGCCAGCTGTGTAGCTGGAACAGCCTCTCAGCAATTCAGAGCTATTGCCTGGGCATGAGATGTTACTGTGGATACACCCGGAGACACAATGGCTGTGTTTGAGAGATTCAAATGCATCTAGAAGCCCAGCTGCAAGGCCCGCTGGGAAGGAAAGCCTGAAGCTTCCAGCCTCTGCAGCCCAGACAGTCCTGAAGAAGTAGGCTGCATGCCAAATGTTCACCCCCACATCCTGCACACCCCCCACCCCGGCTCTCACTGCCCTTGGCTTAACACAGCTCCTTGGGAGAGCCACAGCACCACCCCTGCCTCAGCCCCCAATGCCCCATCCCTATTCATCTTCATCTTTCACTTAAATGTCAACCACCCTCTGAAATCTTCCTGAACATCAAGGCTGAGGTCAGCCACCTGTTACCTCCTGAGAGCACCGTGGACATCATCTGATATGCTCTCACCACGGCTCTTTGTGGCTTTTCTGTTAAGGCAGACACTTGAAAATCAGGCCTCTGCTGTGGTTTTGATACCTCAACAAGAAGTGAACAAGTCCTTTCAGTGACCAAATTGATCAAGGGCTTTATTTTAGTTGAACCAGAGCAGACTATTCAGCACCACAGGTCTGGACAGTTCTTTTTTGCTCTCCAATGCACCCCACAAGTTAAATATATATATTTTCCTTAACTTTTCGTGTGTGTGTGTGTTTAAATATGCAGGACAGTGGCATTTCACAGTATTTTGCAATTATCTGTGATAATCTGAGCAAAAAAGTTTATAATTATTATCAGATTCTCAAATACATTATGGCTCCAGGACAGTTAAGACCACAGAACCACAGACCTGCAGGCAACAATTCTCACCAAGTCACCATGACAAGACAGACAGGTTGAGTGAAAGGTTTTCCTCCTCTGCTCCACAGGAATTTAATCTCCTTCCTATGTGAATTCTTGTGTGAATGTGCTTGTTCTGAGAAGGAAGAAAGCTTCCTCTGAAAAAAGTCAATTGGGATCAAAGTTTGGAGATGGAGATGTTCCCCCTTACGGAGGCTGACACACTCTTACCAATTTTTGCTTTCCCTTTTCTTTGTGACTGTGTGTAACCCATATGATGATGTCACAGCTATTTTTCCTAGCAGTTGCAGCCAAAAGATTTATAAACTTAGGAATCTAGAAGGTTCTGAGTCTCACCTGTCCCTACCCTCTCCCAGCAGGCTGTTGATGATGCTGGCAGCCTGAGCTCCTGCAGCCCTGCATGTGGCTGTGTCCTGTGTTAGGAGGGCTAAGGGGGGAAAACGTGAGCTGTGGAGTCCAGCCTTAGACCTTCCCCAGTGCATCTGACTCCAGAGGGCACAGCTGAGAAGCAGCTTCACAGGGAAGCCCTGGGGCTGTCTGGAAGAGGAGGTCTGAAGA